ACAAACACATAAAAGATGCATATAAAAAAGAAAAGGTTGTTTTGAATTCAAAAAATAATTTGGGATCTTAAATTCATGTCAGACCAGTAATTCTTAAGAATTAGAGGCTTGTTTCCCAAGAAAAGAAACCATACAAACAGTAATAGCTGGATTTTGATATTATCATGTAATTTGGTGGAGAAGAGAAATTCTGCAAGTCCGTGACACTAAAACAAATAAAACAACAAGCATATACAGCTCTGGTATTGTGCTAATCATAAGTAAATAAAGTGCATACGTGTATAGGATTAGAGCACACAGTTAATATAATACTGTGACCTCTCATATTAACCTAGAAAGTGCCTCAAAACTGAAGATCTCAACAATTTTTAGAAAATATATGTTGCAAAACCCACAGACAAATTAACAAGATAAATATGTCTAATGGAGCACAAATTCAATTACCTGAGGTTAAATGACAAACAAAGTGCCTAGTATTTGCAAGTGTCCCTGTAGACGCGCCCGTGGGCCTCACGCTACAGTTCGGACTCAGATTGTCACGGTTCTTAATCTGATCTCACAATGTGCGATATGAGATTGATAAATCACCAAAGAGTCCAAATCCGGCAAATCGTTTTGAAAAACAGATTTTTAGAAAGAAGTGTCAAACATGGACTGCTTTACTAGATACAGAGTCGCCACCTAAATGTTTTATTTTTGGGAAATTTAGGAAACCCTGACTCGTTGCCTAAGGCCACATGCTCGTCATCACCAAAGTTGCCTCGGCTCGGGAACTTGGGTACGATTGGGGAAGGTCAGCTATGAGCACCCCCGCTCACCCGATCAAAGATCGACCTCTACTAATTATGATATCTAGTTTTGAAAACATTATGCGTTCTTATTCCGATTAATAGTAATCTTACTATGATGCGCACAAACACTAAAGTATAGACTAGATCGCCTAATTGGAACAAAGCATTGCATATCCATTTGTTCGGAAAAATGGTTCAAAATTTGTTACTCGCGAGTAGGCTAAAATACGGATTTCAACGAGTTGTTCCAACTCAAGCAATCCAACCTTCACCCACAGGCATTCAGGCAGTTAATATCACATAAGCACATAACCACATGGTAAGCATGCTGTCATGTTAACATTCACAATCATGCAAGATGCTAAAACATAAATACTTACAGCGTATTCGAGCCAAAACAAAGAACATGTAGCAATCAAACGTATGATATGTCAAGTCTATGTTAAATGGCTAATGCATCACAGGCAAAAAATGCAATCTAGTATAGGCTTGGCTAATCCTAGGATGGCATGTGAAATGCAACAAGTAACATATATTCAAGTTAGATTTGAATACTATGCAGTTAGCATGATACGCCGAGCCCGGGTGCATGCAATACTGATGAATGAATGCACGCATGCATAGTATAAGGTATGCTAAATTAAATATGCCCTAGCACTAACCATCAAAAGCAGGTAAGTAAAATGGAGAAAGAAATAGGGATTGGAAGACATGCCCACGCACACCCATACTTATTACACATTCGCCCTCGCTCGGAGGGACCAAAAGAATAATACAAATTAATTAACCTACAAGCTAATTAATTATTACAGACCACTTAACTAGTTAAGCAAATTAACTAAGCTAAGAAAGCAATAAAACAGCCTCGGGAAGGGGGTCCAATGCATGCGTGCTTGGGTTTGCTCGGAAATCTGTCACCATGCACAAGCTGCCTCTGTTTACCCTGCTCTGCTCTTCTAAAAATTGCACAAGTCCCAAGAAACACTCTCTAAACACTGTGGAGCATCACCGACCATGGTAGAAAGGTCATCGACCATTGATATGGCTCTCGGTCTCAAATGTTTGGTTGGTCGGCAATAGAGATGGTCGGCTGACCATGTATGCCTGCAGAATCCTGTTTTGACAACAGTAGAGGGCAAACATGGCATGGCAATGCATTTCAAGCAAATGTGTGCGCCACCACACTCCTTATCATGTTTATGGCTTAAAGGATTTGGGACTTGACCCTCGGGCCACCAATCGCGCATTTCAATGTGTGATGGCCAAAGAGGCCAAGGTGTGCATTTTAATGTCAAATGTAATGCACACAAAACAAACAAGGGACCCAACCTCTATCATGGTGATTCAAGAGGCAAGGCATGCATGCAAAATGCAACCTAGGCATGTGACCTAAGTGTGCAACATGAACATGTGGACAAACATGCAATAGGCACACAACCTAAGCAAACAAGCATACAAGGCATGGAACAACTATGCTAATGACAAGCATACAAGATGCAATGTGGACATGTTAGTATACAAGACATGTGACAACATGTTAAGCAACTTAACCAAGAGAATGCATGCCAAATAGAAAGCGTTTCAAGCATGCAACAACATGCGATAGGCCAAGCATGCAACAACATGCAAAGGATGGTCTTAAACTAGTTTGGGCAGCTCTAAAATAAGCCCAAAACAGTGGCCAAATGCCAAGGAAATGAAGGGCAAATGCACATACAAACATGCATGCAAACATGGTCCAACACTTAGGCACAAAGAGGGGGCTTTTAAGCACACTTAACATGGACAAATAGCATACATGATAAGCTTTGAAAACATGTAGGAGATGATGCCAAATCAACCTACCAATGCAAGCAAAGCATGCAACCAAGCCCAAGGACTTAAACTATGATCATGTGACACATGAAGCAAATGACTAAAGTGAATCAAAACAGTCCTAAATCATGCCAAAGTAAGCCCCAAAAACCACTTAGATGGCATCTAAATGATCTAATCCTAGAAGCATACACAATGGCACAAACAAGGAGCATGAAACACCAACCTTTTAAAGCATTAAAAGAGCATCAAATGCAAGCACACAAGCATGCTATAAGGACTGAAATGACATGATAAGTGGTTCCAAACCGCTGAAACAAAGCAAGTAAAGCATGCTAGAGGGGTCAACACTGAAGGCCTACAAGGGAGATTGCATGGTAGCTATACAAAGCAAGTCATGGATGGCCCAAACAACCAAAAAAATACCTCAAGCACATCAAAACATGCATAAAAGCATCATAAAGCTAAGCCAAAACAAGTAAGCATAGTGGTCTAAATGCTAGGTGCATGTTAAGGTAATTTCATGACATTACAAGACAACTGTACAAAGCATGCATGGTGTGTCTAAACCAATTAGAAACAGTGCTATATCATGGCAAAATAAGCACAAATAACACCTAAGACATGGCCAACATGAACTCAAGAAAGGTGCTCACACATGAGGCTAAAATGGCAAGTTTTGAAGACAATAAGGAGAGGGGATGGCCCTCTCCTTCTTAGGACCTCAAAGCACCATCCCCACCATTGAAATCCCTCTGGATTTCAGTGGTGAGGAGGCCCAAACAAGGTGGTCTCGAAGCTCACCAAAATAGCACAAAATGGGGGCCAAACAAGGCCTAAGAGGGGTCAAACAACCCCAAACACCAAAACAACCTTAAACAACTACTTTAAGCACTTAAAATTAGAACTTTTATATGTTATAAGTTAAGCTTAAAAACAGATGCAAGGATGGCTAAAAGCCTATGCAAAAATGGGGAATAAAGAGCAAAGTTCTTACCCTTGAAGACCCCTTTCAAGAACTGAGCTCCAGCCACTTCCTCAAGCTTGAATCCACTCAAAAACTCTGAAAATCACTCCTTAGTACCTCAGTAGCTAAAGGAAAGTGTAACACTAGGTGTTTGTGCACAAAAGTAAGGACAAACACACACAAATACACAAAGAGAGGAAGATATAGAGATAGAATCGATACACAACCCTAACCCTAATCTCAGACTCTCCCTTGAACTTCTGGAACCCTTGAGGAGGGAGGAGAAGGCCTCCTCTTATAGAGATTCACTCTTGCAAAGCTTACAAAACAAGCTAAGCAAGAGTGAAATCCCTCCATACACGTGTATGGAGGGGGTGCAAAGTGGGTGCCAACTATCACAGCTGGCACAAAATATTTGTCAAAAGCAGATGCACAGTGGTCGGCCAGCCAAAAATGACAAATTGACCAAATAAATGGTCGACCGACCACAAAGAGTGCCGACCGACCAAACATTTGGTCGATGGCAACAACACAATGGCCGGTGGCCTCAAGCCATGGCCGGTGAGATGTGGGGATGGCCGACAAGCCATTCCCTTCTCCTCAAAAGCAAAACACAAGTGTTTGGTGCAAAACCAAACACAAAACAGGCAAGTCGAGAGGTCTTGAGGCAAGGCGCGTGGCCGAGACCTCCAAGAACTCAAGACGAACACGAACATGGATGATCACCGAGTGTTCAAACGGTGACGTCCAAGTCTTGAGGACGGTCAAAAATGGAGTGTCTACAGTCCCCATTGGGGATCGATTGACTCTATTGGTATAGATATAATATTGGAATAAAAATTGCAAATTCAACAGGAGGGCATCAAAAATACCAAAAACTACCACGACATTCAGTTTTCCTAAAATGGAACCATGAATGGACCCTCCATCATGGGCCATCAAAGAAAATGGAGACATTACCACAACTTATTTTCTAATCCAATAAGCAATTATTCAAGACCATTTAACAGAGGCAGCCACTGAACACAATTTATCAGTCAATTTTCATTATGATGTTGAAGAACACCTTTACCCTTTCCAATGTAGTATCAGCAAGACTCTGAAATTACTAATTTGGCCACCTCAATCCATTTAAAGAAAAAGATAAATGACACGAGAGTTGAGCTTCACCTTGTGTAATGGTTTGCCAGTTCTTATTCATACATTTGGACGAGCGAGCTTTGATTCAAACAGAGTCTTTGGCCTCACTTCTTTAATTTCCTCCCACTCCTCACGAGTAAGCATCCTAATTGTGCCTTGACTAGCAGGAGCATGCTTTATTTTGCTCTTAATCATCTCTTGGGATTTGGATTCATCATACTGCTAATATACCATGTTAATCACATTAATACTGTCAAGTATAGAATCAAAAGAAATTGACTGACGTACTTTTCAGGCAAGCAAAATTGATATCAAAGAGAATAATCCACAAAAGAAACAGCATGAAACCTCTACAATTAAGCTCCAAACTTTATTAGGTATGCCATTTTAGTAATGGATGAATCTTTAGTCAATAATGACCAAAACATATCTTGAAATATCTCAGAAGGTTAGAGAACTATAGCCTGTACAGTCCCACCAACACAATTACCTGAAACCTTACCACAACCATCTCATGTGGTTGCTACTTCACGAAAGTCACCACAAACATCAATGAGGCTCTGCCCTATTGAGAGTATCTTCTTAGGCAATCCGATAGATAGATTATGGCTAACTTTTAGATTTGTAATGGAAAGTTGAGACAGAAGTTCAAACCCATGAAGTTTTGTTTTCAACTTTCTTAATTAAAAGAAATAAAAACCCATCAAACTACTACCAATGAGTAGCAACTGATATAGAGGTTATCCATTTGGAAAACAAATTAATTTGGTTTAGAAAAGCACGTTGCAAATTATGAGAGAACCAACGAGATAATTACATATCCAAAGTTGAAGGAAACACAAAGAAATGCATCCAAACTAAGCATACCATCATCAGGAGCTTTGCAAAGAGTGCAACTCTAACAACAGTGAGAATCATCAACATAGTCGATGCATCAAGGTATGTTTTTGGCTTCGCAACTTCTACAAATAACTGATTTTTCCTAGGGTTCTTCCTTGTCCTTATCTTCTCCAATTCAGCAACCTTCCTCTTTAGGGTTTCGCTAGGACCGTCACGGGATAATTTATGCATCTGTCTATGCAATGGGAATAATGCTTTGCCAACTCGAAGCATTGTTACCAAAAAGACGACCTAACTATTAATGAAGTCCTCGAATTATTTCAATGCTGAGAACCCAACTGTTCACCCAATAAGAGCAAAGATGGCATAGCCCCAATTGTGAGATTGGTTATTACTTCTTTGGTCAAAAAATGCAAGGGAACTGTGTCTTCAAAACTGAGGTGGATGACAAAAGAATCAAAATAGGTAGCTTTTGCTATTGAAAAATTAAGTAAAAACATATATGTGTGTGTGTGTGTGTATTATAAACAAATGTATAGCAAAAATGTATCCAAAATTATGATAACGACACTCTAAATCCCTCATAACAATAGAATATACAAAACCTTAAACCATCTTAGCAACTCAAATCAAGGGCTCATGACTCTTGATTTGACAAAAGAAATTGGGTAGCTTTTGCTTTTGAAGAATGAAATAAAAACATATAAATGCATGTGTATAAACATAGGTGTAGCAAAATTGTATCAAAAATTACTCTAAAATCCCTCATAACAACAGAATATACAAAAACTCAGACTGTATTAGCAAATCAAATCAAGGGCTCTATGCTCTTGACAAAAGAATCAAAAAGGGTTGCTTTTCTTTCGAAGAATCAAGTAAATACATACAACAACAAAAAAAAACTCATACTTTTGAGAACGACAATCTAAATCCTTAACAATAAACGGTACAAAACCCCATACTTACGAAATCAATGGCTAAGAGTGCTTGCAGATTAGAAGAAATTCTCTTTCGCTTTGCACAAATTAAAGACCAGAGCTGCAACCACAGCCAAGGCCATAACAGACAGGAGTGGAAGAAAATGATTAGAACTTTACTTTACAATCACATCTTAGTAGCCATACATGCAAATAAATACACAATCAATGTGAATGAGTTCTCTCTTGTTTCATGATATTCTTTCTTGGGTCTAGAGGAATAACAAATAAATTTATTAAATATTAAAACCCAAACCAATATGTGACTTCAGAATACAACAGAAGAAGTAGAAGAATAAGATGAGCAGAGACAGATAAAAATTTTATTCGGCATTGCATCAAATAGTTGGAGGGCGAAAGATGTAACAGGAAGAACAAATTCATGGGAAAGAACAAATGAATGAAAAGTACAAATCAATAACCACAAATCCAATTCAATATGAGGACAAACCAAACTCAGACACACAGAGCCGAGAGAGTTCTCAATCAAGCAACCATAGGATAATGAAATTAAGAACTAGATTGCACAACTAAAGGCATATGGAAGTTGAAGAAGGGCATACCTCGTCTGTTTCTTGAACCAGATTGACAGGAACTTGCGAATTAAATGTTGTTTCGGGAACAGACCAATCGGTCAAATGTTATTTGTGGAATGAACTATGTTTCTATGTTAAAGGTAAAATACTTCAAATCTCCATGAATATATTCATTATTTAGAAAGAGAGATCAAGCCTCTACGTCCAAAAAAAATACAAAACAAAAAAAAACAAAACAAAAAAAAACCCTAAATCTAGAACAAAAATCACAACCAATTTACTCGTTTCCTCGAAATGAAACTCCCACAGCATCAAAATAAATAAATAAATAAAACCCTAGAGCTATAGTGAAATAGGGAAATAGAGGAAGGGAGAGAGAAAGAGAGAGATACCTAAATCAAAATCAATGGGCTTGAGATGGTGAGCGACAGTGAGTGACGGTGGCGATGAGACAGTGTACCGACGAAGAGCGATGGGCAGTTCGACCGGAGTGAGAGCAAATAGTAGCGATGGCGGAGAAGAAGAAGGTGATCTGGTTGTTGGCAACTGCGAGGACGACCGGCGATGAGAGAGGGAGGGGAGAGGAGTAGTGGAGACAGAGACAGAGATGAAGACGGACCCTGAAAATAGAGCGAGAGAGAGAGAGAGATAGAGGCGCTGGTTTTGTTTAGGTTTTGGTTTGGAAACAAAATATATATATCATTTTACACAATTTGTGACTAAACATTTTGGAAGGGATGCAAAAATGACTCGCGGCTTGAAACTCACCTGTGACCCGAGATGGGCCCGACCCGTTTAGGCCTGATTGGGCCCAGGCTCGAGCCCAGCCTGAGCCTATAGGCTACGACCTGGGCCATTGTTTTGAAGCCCGGCCCGAAGCCTGGCCTGCCCAAGGCCCAATGTATTTTTTAATGGAAAATAATAAAATTTTGGTAAAAAAATTAAAAAACAAAAAAAAAAGTGGTTTGGCCCACCCAAGCCTGAGGCCAGGCCCAAGCCCACTGGGGCCAGCCCAAGGCTCGGCCCACCGGCCCGCCCAAGGCCTGAATACCTTTGGGCTTGGGCCTGGGCCTGGGCTTAATTTTTTTGTTCGTGGGCCAGCCCAGCCTGACCCGAATTTGGCGAGAACCCGCGAGCTAGGCCAGGCCAAATTTACACCCCTACATTTTGGTCATCAATTATTTTTTAAAATTTCTCCAAAATTTGAAATGGCTCCCTCCAAATATTTTAGTTATTTGGTGTCTAAAATTTTTTTTCATCGCTACAAATAAGTTTTTGGCTACCAAATTTATGGTCGTCAAAGATAAAAAGTAAATTTTTGTTTTTTATTCAGCGACTAAATAATTTTAGTAGCCAAAAGTAACTATATAGCGATTAAAATTTTTTTTGGTCGCTGAAAATAAATTTTTACCAAACTTTTGGTCGCCAAAGATAAAAAGTAAATTTTTGTTTTTCGTTCGACAACTAAATAATTTTAGTAGCCAAAAGTAACTATACAGTGACTAAAATATGAGTTGGTCACTGAAAATAAATTTTTGGCTACCAAACTTTTGGTTGCCACAGATAAAAAGTAAATTTTTGTTTTTCATTTGGCAACTAAATAATTTTTGTAGCTAAAAGTAACTATGTAACGACAAAAATATGAGTTGATCACTGAAAATAAATTTTTGGCTATCAAACTTTTGTTCACCAAAGATAAAAAGTAATTTTGTTTTTCATTCGGTGACTAAATAATTTTAGTAGCCAAAAGTAACTATACAGCGACTACAAATTTTTTTGTCGCCAATTGTGGCATATTTATCAACCAAAAAATTTTTAGTTGCCAATTGTGGCATTTTTAGCGAATACATTTTTTTAGTCGCCAATAATCAATATACCCCGATTAAAAAAAATTAGTAACTAACTCTTGTACTTTTGCCGACTAATATAATTTTTGGTCACCAATTCCACAACTTTTGGCTATTAAATTTTTTTTAGTCGCCAAATTTGGTCATCAAAAGTATAATTTCTTGTAGTGAAACGAGCCGAGCTTAACAAAGCTCAACTTGGCTCAACTCGGCTTGTTTGCAGCCTTGGTGTATTTACCATACATTCGGCTAGGGGACAGTATATAATAATAATATGTATTATTTACATATATGTAGTATTGGTACTTAAATGATAGAAAAAGTCTGTGTCGGTGTATATTTTACTATACATTCAGTTAAGGGGCGTGATATAATACTAATATGTATTATTTACATTTATATAGTACTGGTATTTAAATAACATAAATAAAAATAAGGATCGAAAAAGCGTATGCCAGTGTATATTTTACTATACATTCGGCTAGGGAACGGTATATAATAATAACATGTATTATTTACGTATATATAGTACTGGTATTTAAATAATAAAAATGTAAATAAATACTAAAAAAGTTTGTGCCGGTGTATATTTTGCTATACATTCAGCTAACGGACGGTATATAATAATATGTATTATTTACATACATAGTTTATGGGATTAGTAAGTGTTAATACGAAAAATTGGTAATATGGAGAATTCTATTTTGATATTGATATATGATGAAATGAAATGATGATGAGATTCATGAGATGATAACAAATATTATTAACACTCAACAATGATATGTGATGAAGTAATATCATAATGAGACTCATGAGATAACAACAAATATTATTAACACTCAATAATAATATATGATGAAATGATATGATGATAAGACTCATAAGATGACAATAACTTTTATTAACAGTCAACAATGTTATGTAATGTGGTAATATGATGATGAGACTTATGGGATGATAACAAATATTACTGACAGTCAACAATGATATGTGATGATAATGAGATTCAAATATTATAAAAAGTTAATAAAATTATTAGATTATACCTTATTTTGAATTGGACAGTGTAACACCCTCAAAATAAGACATAATTCATTTATTCATAAGATCCATAAAACATAGAAGAAGTATTATATTCCATACATCAAAGTTTTCTTTACAAAAGATGTTACATGCTTGTCAACAAAAGTAGATGCCAACGGCCTACAACCCCCCAAGAAAATACTTGGTGACACAAAAGAAGAGTTCTAACTCTTTTACATATAAAGCCCTTGGCTTGAATTACACATAACACAAGAAGGTAACAACAAAAAGAAGCCTTCAGCCACTAAACCTCCCAAGCTATGTCCTTGGAGGCGGCATATCACCTGTACCTGAAAATGGTATCCCAAGTAAGGTGAGCCAAAGCCCAGTAAAGATCCGCTAAACATTATATGAGAATTAACTAAAACATTAGCATTTGATAAATATTTAACACTTATAAGCCAACTTACGTACTTTCCATAACCAATCAACATTTACAAACCACTTCCTTTCATGTATCCAAATCAAGCCACTTACATTATTCAATATTATCCAAACAATTTAAAATGAGATTACAACTCATATATCAACACTTCAATAATCAACAACATTCAACACTTCTATTTTCTTGCCATTTTACGGAACTATGTCCGAGGGAACCGGCACCCAAATATATAAAAGATTTTGAGACTTTCACCCTGGACACTCCGGCCAACTTAATTATCAATGGAGTCCATCCCATATCTCGTCCCAAACAATAGAGTACATCCCTTGTCTCCTCCCACATAATATATATATACAATGTATTTAAACACATAGTCATATACAATGACCTAACAAGTCACATATTCAATGTGTTAATTCCACCGTCACATTCAAAGACATAAGCCAATTGATTAGTTTCAATTTCCCTAATCATCATGCAGTGTCTACAACAATCAAGACTATCCTCCACCGATAGCCCAAAATAGTTATTTCTAAACAGATAAATAAATCTATCAAACAGATAATTTATTACATATTCCATCGGTGAGTGATTTATCAATTCAACTACACCATTCAATCACAATTTCCTCCAATTTCTAGATTCTCAACCCAATTTCATATTCCCATAATTTACTAAATTAATTATACAAATTAATTATTTAAATTTGATTAGGTCATTTTCCCCATTTTCTCAAACATTGATCCTAGGACCAAATTTCATCCATTCTACCCAAATATCCCCATTTTCAAGACCTCACGCACACAATGAAGTCCAAAGATAGAAAACCCCTCTTTCAAGCATTTCAAATTTCAAACCCTAACTTCCCAAAATTACCAAATCTCACCATTTATACAAAATGACTAATGTCTATGTTAAAGCCCATAAAAAAAATGAGTAGATGATCCCTACCTCAAATGAAGAAGCTCAAAGGAGAATGAAAGAAAAACTCAAGATGCTCCAAACTTGAATTTCTTTGGATCAAAATGAAGCCCACGCAATGCTCTAGCTTTTTTACAAAAGAACTAGGATAGAAAACCCCTAGAACATGGAGTATTTGTAGAGAGAGTGTGTGTGTAGAGAGAGAGGCTATCGATTTTAGGGTTTGGAGTGAAAAAGGGATGAAAAAGTGATGTAAAATCACGCTGCTGCGATCTGATATAAACAGGGCTCGCTCGAGCGAAAGAGTGGTCGCTCGAGCGACCAGACACAAAAGGACCTCGCTCGAGCGCAAGAATCGTCGCTCGAGCGAATAATAAGAAGCTTCAGGTCTGAACCAATGCAGACGCACGCTCAAGCGCAAGAAAGCTCGCTCAAGCGAAGAATGCCACCCTTCAAGTCTAAAAGAGACGCAGACGCACGCTCGAGCGCAATACTGCTCGCTCGAGTGAAGAGACACAAATCACAAGGCTCGCTCGAGTGCAAGAAAGCTCGCTAGATCGAAAGCTGTGTCTGAAAAAGAAACCTGAAGACCCACAATACTCGCTCGAGCACATAAACCCTCGCTCGAGCGAAGAAGCAAACACCCAAGGCTCACTCGAGCTCAAAAGCCTCGCCCGAGCAAAGAAGCCAAATCCTAGATAGCAACCATTTGTTTTAACTCACAACCAACCTGCTCCAAACTCACCCAACACATCCCAAAACTCAAATACAAAGAATCAAAGGATGGAAACAAGATACAGACAACAACAGCCAACCACGGAACTTGAGTCCAGAATATAGTAAATGATAGAGGAAAAATGGGGATCGCTATAGACAGAGATTCGACTTGATTTACTTAGTTTTTCACAAGTTGAACGAAATACCTTACTATTTTTTTTCTTCTTCTCCCTTACTTCTCTTTCTTTCTTTTTATTTTTCTTCTTTTCTGATTTTATTGTTGTTGATTCTCTTCTCGGTCTTCTTCTTTCTTCTTCTTTCTATCTTCCTGAAATTCTACTCTTGAATTACTCTTTCTCTCTCTAAGAGTGCTGGAGACACCTATTTATAGGCAAAAGATGGGGCGGAAGGGTTGTATATGTAGCACACAGGCAAGAGGGTTGATGACGTGAATTCAGCTAATGTTCGCATCTAAGAGCATCTCCAACGGTGCATCAAATTTTTTACTAAATTTGAGTAAAAGCTCCATTTGATATCAAGTACTCTAATAGAGGTTCTTAAAGTTTCATCAGAACACCGATTGACCGGGCAGATGTCCATCCGGTTGACTAGCCAGTGTAAAATTTTCACAAATTTTTGTCTTGAGATGGTCATCCGGAGGAACATCCAGTGGTGAAAATGAAGCGACTATAAACAGTGATTTGATG